GTGCGAAACCAGAAGACGCAGGTTTGATTCCCGCAGCGCCAAAAGTTTTTGTTCATTTACCTACAAAAAATTATAATTTACAGCTCTAAGATAATTCATTGGACAGATTCTCGTAAAGAAAGGCCGGTTGGTGGCTCTCGAGCACCATGAGTTGTTACATCTTTAAATTTTTGTAGATCTAAACCACGAAATTCTTTCTCTGTTAACGCAAAACTTGAAGGTCTAAGATTGGATTACAACAAACATGAAGTAGGTACCAAACCTACTTCAAAAAATTTATCAGACATTTTAAATTATAATAGCTCTCTGCAGTTTTCACTTGCAATATAAGCCCAGCGTTTTGGACCATTTCTCCTAGCATATGTTTTTTGATCACCTCCTCTAATTTCAATCGAAATATCTTCTCTATTTATTTGAAATATCCAAGTCTCAATTATTTTCATTTGTACAGGAAATCACTCTTTCCACTATATTTGATTATGTTTGTTGATTATGATTAGCTTTGCTGTAGAAAAAAAGGGCTTAGATTTTTATGACACACTTTTCCAGCGATTCCTTACATGTTTTTATACATTTTTGTGCATGTTTAACTTTTTCTAGGACTTATAAAAAGAAAAAAAAATCTTAAGGACTGAGGCCACACAAAGCTGGCAAAAATGTGGGCTTGCTTCTATTGTATTGATGTTTTTAAAAATAGTCGTTTCTGCCCTCACCACCTCGTTCAAATATTCATTGTCATTTGAGTGTCGGTATACTGTAAAGTCGATCATTAGATGGCGCCACATATTGATAAAAATTCGAAATAAAAGTGGATAGACCTTTTGGCGTGTTTTGAGCTATTGGACCAAGGCCAGTAGATAATAGCTGTGCGAGTGAGTTATTGCCACGTTGGTTCGCTTGGTGCTTTGCACCTGGGTGGTAATCAATTTCAAAGTGACCGCGTAAACAGAGCTTACTGTTTACGGCATACTTTGGAAATTGATTATAGCCGTTTGTCATTATCATCTGGGTGTTTTTTATTGTTGTTTAAATTAGTCAAGAAATGTATAGTAGTTGTTACACTACACTGGATGGATGAATCAACTACAGTGAAGTCAATCTTATATTGGCACATTAAAACTTGTAGAAAAAGTACGAAAAGATTGTCGCCGCTGTGGGAGTCGAACCCACGTCTTCGGCATTCGCGGCCTGACGCTCTAGCCACTGAGCTAAACGGCTGATAGCCACAGCGACGAAAATCTTAACGCCTTCTTTCTACATTGTTATTTAGCATTTGAAACAATGCTTGGTGCATCTATTGTTATATCCTTTTCCAGCATACAAACAATTTCGAATATCGTTTTACAACGATAATTCATACGAGAGATGTCGCCATTGCTTTTTATAAATTTTACAGTCTTTTTATAGTACTAATCTCTGCACTTAAGATTGAAAGAAGGCGTTAAGATTTTCGTCGCTGTGGCTATCAGCCGTTTAGCTCAGTGGCTAGAGCGTCAGGCCGCGAATGCCGAAGACGTATATTCGATTCCCACAGCGGCGACAATCTTTTCGTACCTTTTCTACATTTTTAACAAGTTTACTTTTAAAACCTATAGGTATTATTTACGATAAACTTGTGTTTCTTGCCGGTCAAGTTAAGTGAACCGGTGGTAGTTTTTGACGTTCAATAAGAGCTTAAAATAAGCCTATGTTGAATAAAGAAATTTTGACTTTGATATTTTCTTTTCGATATATCGAGGCCGATATTCATATTTTTATAAATATCGATATATTTCTTCACTTTCTACATACCTTGGGCCACGGAATATTCTTCGCTGTTGCACGAATGGGCGGGTCCGTCCGGATAAGTACCACGACTTAACAGTAGATCGGCGTGAAGTGGAAGTGTTGTACTTCTGCGTTTCGTCCGGTGAGTGTGGTAACCGGCCCCACATTATAATACATTGGCAGCGCATCTAAAACTCTACAGGTGTTGCAAACGTCAACGAGCGGCTGTTGTATTTGTATAACTGATGTTACGCTTTCAGAGACTATTCAAGCTTGAAGGAACCCAGAACCGGTGGGCTAGCCAGAACTCACGGGTCTGAGCCCCTCCTCAGTGGGTAGGGCCGCGCGTGTACTTATGCGTGCGTTAATTATGGAAAGTCGCCTACGGACAATCGAGGTTCAATGCGGACCGTGACTCCGATGGCCGCTGACTGTGCTATGATAAATAAAAAAATATAAATGTTTTCAAAACAAACCTTACAAGTGGATATTTTTGTAGGAATACGTGGACAGTAAATTTATATACGTACACGTAATCGCGGCGATCTGCTATTTAAAATTGAAATAATCTTTTATCTCTTTTTTTTTAGTAACAAGGCAAAAGCGAAATAATAAACATGGTAGTTTTATTTAATTTTATTAAATAATTTGAGTAAGAGATACATACTGTTCAAACAGCTTACACAAACTATAACCGAAAACTTTATCACAGTGATAAAAAAGTAATATAAAAATCTTAACTTTAACTTAAAATATAGTTGAACCATATAAGTAGAGTAACCTAATTATTCACAAACAAAGAGAAAAACACTAACAATAAATTTAAGTACATTTTCTACAGAAAGAAACGAATAAACTTTGGGAAAGAGGATTATACGATTGTTTTGTAACAACGCTATTATACCTCAAACTTGAACAGAATATGTTGTGTAAAAAATGCAAAGCTCTTATAACACTCTTAAGAATATTTTAATATAGTAATAATATAATGTATTAATATTTTTAAAAAGTAGCTGAAAAAGTATAACATTAATTCTTAATACATATTACCTTTGAGAAAAGACGAAGGAATTTTTAAAAGAAATGTATTACACTCCATTTGGCTTTAAACGTTTAGTAGAAGAAGGTTAATAATAACCTTGACAATCCTATTCTAATTGCAGACACTCCCGCTCTTTTAGGAAAGTGAACGGTGCACTAATATTGACGCGTATTTCGAATTTTATTTACTTTATTGTTTGATCATCAGTGACCTTCTTGTAGCAATACATGCATGTATTTTTATTTACAAAGAAATATTGCTCCCAGATAAAGAAAAATACAAAACAATAAATTTTTAGATACCTAGTTTTACCGTTTCCGTAGTCTATACATAGTGAAGAGTAGTGATTCTACATGAGAAATTTTCTTTTAATTTGACCTTAAACCGTATCAATTTCCTGTTAAACAATAATGTGAGTTACGGATCTTGGAGCTAAATATTACTATGAGATTTGTTCGAACTGGCTGTAAGGAAAAAATAAAATCATAGGAAACTTAATTGTTTTGTGTTGTTGATTGTATGTTTTAGAACATGTTCAAAGTTGAGTGTTCGGGATGCTGACACTACTTACATATAAATTTAACGATATGTTAGTATAATATATGTATAAACACATAAAAACAAACAAAAAAACTTCTAAGGGATAATTCAGCAATAAAGGGACTACATTTAACAATATCGATAAAATAACAATTAAGTTTACTGATGTATACTTATGGAGTGCCACTTTCAATACTTTCGAATTAGCAATATTTGCCTACTTACATGTAAATTTACAAGAAGCTGATGTGAACACTTGTGATGGTTTATTCTCGGGTAAAGAGTTGAAAATCAACAGCAGTTGATATTCCTAAATGCTTTTATGGCCGCAGTGTACGTAATAGCATTTCACAGATGGCTATCTGAGGCTTTAGATAGCCTCAAAATTATACAAGTAATTCACAATCAATTCAACGCTGACTTGGTCAGAGCACGTAATGAGAGCTGTGTGGAAACGTTTGACGGACTATAGAATCACTTAATGGCGTATGTGCCTGAAATCCCGTTTGCAGTAACAGACAAAGTACGTTTGCGACAATCTAAAACGTTCAAGCGTCTACTATATTTAAACTTTATTAAAAGTCCTCGACCTTAATATATTAAGAAAACGAAAATCCAAACATTTCTTTATAATATTATGAGAAATGCTTTTTTTAATTCTCTTGCTTTATTATCATTTTATTATTAGCAATAATAAATAATGATTATTAATAAATAGTTTATTGAGTTTTATTACGTAAAAATATTAAAGTCTTAGGTCATAGTTTTATCTTACTTTACTTTCCTATTATAAGTTTAAAACGATAAGTCGATAATACATAATTGAGTTATTTACTCAAATAAGTATTAAGAAATCTTGTTATTTTCTATATCGTTACAATAAATTGTAATAATATGTTATTAATTTGACAAAACCCTTAGGTTTTTTTAACATCGCGCGTACGACGTAAAAATGTAACAAAAATTACGAAAGAACGGTTCAAACTTCAAACCGTACGTAACAATGAGTGCAATGTACCTACAAATAACTCACATATTGATAATAAATACAAATTACAAAACAAGGGCAAAAAAGTGTGTAATAAATAACAATGTGACCTTAATATAACTCTATGGGACCTTAAATAATACATTTATAATACCATATTTAAATAATCTCTAAGACCCGAGCCGCTTAGCGTTGAACCCTATTGATTCGAAGTATTTATTATATATTACATGTAACAATTTAGTGCTTTTACAAGTTTATACTAACAGACACATCGCATTGCGCTCAGCAGGTTTTTATAATTAATATTTAACGGCCACATTCTAAATTCGCATATGATCAGCAAAAACAATCGCAAACTGAGACCGCTCTGCATTTTATGCAATGTGATATGTATGTCGTTCTTACCGTTCATACACTAGCGAAGTCCGTTCAAGGCTGCCTCCCCCTACGATAGCATAGACAAAAAGAAATCCAATTAATGGTCAACATTCATCTTTGGAATAGGAAACAGGAAGTCTCGACGCCGCAAATAGATCGGGCGGCTAATGAGACGGATAGTTTGCGAATCTTAACTTACATCTACTATACGAAAACCCAATGAGTGAACTGTAGCTTCAGCGTTCGGTTCGCACGGCCGGCGTGGTACCGCGCGTTCACTCAGATTTCGGCTGGCTGCGGGCGGCGCGTGTGCGTCCTCATGTGGCGCGTAATCATGTCGCGGCGACAGGCGGCGTACGGGCACACGGGGCACCGGTACGGTTTCTCGCCTGTGTGCGTGCGCTGGTGGGTTGCCAGGTGGTCGGAGCGCGAGAACACCTGCCCGCAAGCGGAACAGGAGTAAGGCTTGATCCCGCTGTGCAAACGGGCGTGGCGCGTCAGCATATCGGAGCGGGCGAAGCGCCGGTGGCATATCTCGCACTCGTACGCGCGCGCCGCCTCTGGCGTCTTGTCCTTGTGCCGGGATGCGACGTGCTTGGCCAGGCGGTCGTGGACCGCGAACGTCTGGCCGCACGTGGCGCAGTTGTACCCGGGCGGCTTCCTCTCCGGCTTCGGGGGCTCCGTTTTGACGGAGAGGTCGAGCGGCGCCTCCTCCGGCTCTTTCGGCTCGTAGCTCGGCGTGTCAATCATGAGCCAAGTCGGTACCGGGTAGTGGTTATTGTTTTGCAGCTGAACCGTCAGCTTGTCGAGCAGCCGCGAGAGACGGCCCTTCTTGCGCAGGAACTTTGGACCACGGCTCAGGGCTGCCGCCTCCGTCATACTACTCCCGCTGCTGCCTTCGCCAATGTCCGCCACCTCCAATGGTATATGCCAACCTGAAAGCAAACACTATCTTACATCACCCGTGATATTTAAACCAACGAATATGCCAATGGAACTATCATCCGTAAATACATAACGTAAAATCATCGTAAAATTCCTCGATGGCAACAGCTTAGGGTTAAATGCTGTATTATTTATTGCGTAGGGTCTTATAATTTTTTTACAGTGAAATTCACCCCCTAAGCGAGAATTGGGGGAGCAGGTGATGCCCTTTGCTTTATTTATATAATAATATAATAAGACAGCTAAAGGTTGGTAAATACAAGCACGACAATGCACCTTTAACGCATCTGTCAATTGATGGGCGAAACTTATCCACTGCGTCCTATTGGCGACGCGAATAAAACTTTCGGCCAATCGCAAGGATCTGCGGCTACGTAAAGATGATCCCCTAAGGTTTGGTACTCGGGTATCGGGTTCCGGGTGTTTTTCATTCGGTACTTATGTGAGTTTTTGTTATAGGTAATAATAACACTACGCGACGAGGCGTCTACCATATTCGTATTGTGGTGTTGTCCCGAGCGCCTTTTGTTATTTTTTGGGCTAAAATTAAATACCGACACCTAATGGAGAGGTACACGTTAGACACGTCAATGTTGAAAGTTGTTCAGTCTTTGTCAGTATATTAAGATTTTATTGTGATCACCTAAAATTTGATAGGAAAGAAATGTTGATGGGCAAATTAATTATACATTTGATGGGTCAACGCAAATTTATTTATTTTTCCATCCAAAAAATACTTCTCGCACAATGATTATTGAACTGCGAAATGGTTTGAATATAAAACGTAGCGTCAGTACATAGAACGTAAAATGTACCGTCAGTTAAAAAAGTATGTGTGATATTGCTCAGCGAGGGGACATTTTCAAATCAAATCCGATTGGCCTCATTTAACAATTAACTGAATCAGAATTAATAAATAAATGTTATATTAACGTCATAAACTCGGAATTAGCTATTAGGCTAAGATGTTGAAATATCTAATCACGTGGATGCGTCCCGTGCCTGTGATATTGAATGTACTGACATTCAATATCACAGGCACGGGACACATTCAATATAATGGGATGTAACTGACATTGATAATTATATTCAAGTGCATGTAACTATGCAATTACAATAAGTCAAATCAGTTTGTGTGGTCGACAATACCTATATATATAACACGGATAAAAGTGAGATGCGAATCGACAACCTATAAACACCTGAGAAACAATTGATGAAATTAGAAAATAATAAATGGGCTACTAATAATAACTCGCACTCATGCTTTAACGTTTTAAAGACGAACAAATGACAGATTCAAGAAAGTAACATATTATATTGATAAACTTAAATTACGTTTTATTTGCGACAGTTTTGACGTGTACAGCTTTCGAAGTGAGTTATTTAGAGGATTAAAGATTTCATTTCTAGTTTTTAAATATTTTTATATATATCTGTTCCCATAACATATTGTAAAGAAATGTATTGTATAACGTTGCGTTGAGTTTTTCGTATCAATGAACATTTCTCATTAGAAGATTTGGAATTTTCATAGTCTGCATTATCTGGAGATGGCTAGAAGTTTACTAATTCGGGTCTACATAATGTAAAAGCTCTAGTAAAAATTATCCAATCGCCTTTCCCCTAAATTGTACATAAATAAAGTTTTACATAAATAAAATATACAAATGTAGAATATAGTGCATAAATTTGTATAAAGTACTTAACATATAGGTATCACAGTTTACTGATGGTATTCAAAAACACGTTTTTTGTGTATATTTATTGGCTTTCGTTTTTTTTTTCAATTGTTACGCATTTCAAATGATAAAATTATTGTACGAAGGGGGACGCGGTTCAATTCCTAGCTGGAATAATTTAAAAACCGTTTGTTAATTGCGTATTTGTATCCCGATCGAGTATTAGGAATAATTTGTCTATATATATGAGGAGTATTAACTGTCCATTGCACTTGAATTGATATTTGAAATAATTTTCCACATCAATTCATTTTCTTCTTTAATTAGTTTGTTTTTTAACGGTAATAAATAGCAAGGCATTAGTAGCATTGTGATAACTCCCAAATAGCTCTGATGCCGAAGACGCCGGTTCGATCTCTGATGGTGATCTAATATAATTCTTACCGTCATTTAAATTATGACCTGCTAACCTAAGTTTTTATTGTTACACAATTTTATTATTATATTACAACTGTTTGATTTTTCTATTTATTCATGTTCAAATCTTTCATGGCGTTTTCTCACTACGAAAAACATTAGTTTTATATTACGTAACTATTACAACAATTGCGTATGTGTATTTTTACTATTCCTAAAGTGTACAAGGCGTACCTTGAATACATCGCAACGTGTTTAGGGCTCATAATACCCACGACCTTTGACTACCTATACAACCCGTGGATCTTTGTATGGAGTATAGGCATTATATCAATGGCTTTTATTTAAAAGCTCAATATCGTTATTAGCAATTAAGCTAAAAATGGTTTTCTTGCCGCCCAATTCCCGTCATGAAGTGAAATATATTATATTAATAATTAAATTATTGCTATGAAATTGTAATTACAAAAGATAAAGGAAAACAAATTTAATATTTTTTTCGTTACGAGTTTTTTTTTAATCTCAGGTTTAACTCATGTGGTTAGATGAATGTTTAACATTTCTAAAGGGTTAAATTAATCAACGTTGCAGACAACTCATCCGTGAACCAAAACTGATATGTATCGCAATCACACATTGATTTACCACTTGAATATAGATACAAAAACGTACATAATCTAAGTGTCCCTTGAGAGTATTTCGAAATTCGAATGATGGGCGAGTCCCGTGAAAGTCCAGTCCGCGTCGCACTCTGTTAAAGTTCTTGCGGTATTGCAGCACAGGTGTTGTTTTTATCTATTGCATTTTCTGTCCAGGGATGCACTCGGCAGCACGAGAACCGTGTTGCGTACAGTGAACGGTACGTAAGGTCGGCGGGTCGGGCGTGCGACCGTCGACCGGTCCCGCCGCCCCCGCGCCTTGCACGGAGCATTGGACATTCACACACGAACCGGGGACACCACTCGCGGGCACAACCGTCCAGCGCCGTACATCGCAACGGACTGACGTGACGGAATCGTGCGAACAAACCGCCCGCGCCTCCACCTGCCGCGCGTGCCAAAATATTGTTGCGTACGCGCTAGCGCTAGGCTAGGCCCGCCTCAACAGCCGCAAAAAGTTAAAAAAAAAGTTTAAGTCGTTAAGTCGCACTTTATTAATGTTAATTAATTAATAACACATTTTTTCCTTATCTATTGCGTTCGTTTTCTCTTTAGGCCTTGCATGTAATTTTTTAAGTTTCTTTTAACATGCTCACGGAAACGACGGTTTTTTTAAAAAAACCCGGTTTTTGTTCAGAAATATTATGTTTCAGCTACTTTTTACTGTAATAGGGCTGAGCCATGAAACTGTTGTAAGAATGGACGGGATGTTCCGAGGGAGAACCACGACCTCACATAAGACCAGCGTAAAGTTGAAGAATTATATCTTCGAGTTTCGTCTAGTGAGGTAAACGGGGCCCGGTTTTTTAAAAAACTGTCGACGTATCCAAGCGCTCAAATGTTGCACATGTTTATTGGCTGGGCAACCACTATTTCACTTAACATCAGGTAAAGCGCCAGCTAGCTTGAAAACTTTTCTTCACTAAAACCTTTACCGATATATTCTTATAAATTACTAGCTGACCCGGCTAACGATGCTTTGCCATATAAATTCTTTGCAGGGTAGAAATGTTTGGGGATGAAAAATAGGTGTTGTCCGATTCTCCACCCTGGCCGATATGCACATAAAATTTCACGAAGATCGGTCGAGCCGTTACGGAAGAGTTCAATTACAAACATCGTGACACGAGAATTTTATATATTAGATTATAACTCTTAGAACGTATAACAAGTGTGGCTAATAATACTAATGTAAAATAAACAAGTTTATCTGCTTTAATTAGATGTATAGCTAATTGGGCACCATAATGTCCTTCAAAATTTATAACATTAATAGATCTTCTTTGGTCTAAAATCACAAATAATGTACAAGTAATTTAAAATACAATTATTTTGGTCAGATTTTAGACAAAAAGGTCTGGTTCAGCTTTGTTACACACATCGTGCAGAACACTATTAACAATAAAATTTAAAATAATAGAAAAAAATTACAATATTTAAAAACTTCACCATGAAATTAAAACAGGTCAGCGATTCCTTATCATGTTGCTATTGCTGCATCAAAATCCATTTTTTACATTTTGGTATTTCTCTGCTGCGAGTATTTGAACCGGCTACGACCCCGATGCGACTGAGCTAAACGGCTCATCTTCACATCGACGAAAATCTCAACGTATTTTATCTACCCACTTTTAATAACATTTTAAGCAATCATGTGTGTCATGATTGCCTAAAATGTTAATCAAAGTCAATCATCATCTTGTGTAATAATTACTGCAAAAGACCACTTTTTCATTAAAAATATGTTGCAGTTGAATAATTGAAAACTAGAGATGACACCTCTGGTCAAATTTAAAAACAATGTCTTGTTTATTTTTTCAGTTATGATTATGAAGCTGCAAGATAACTCCTTACGATAATGTAATAACGGATTTCAAAAATAAGGTATTGTATCTACACTGAAGGTGAACATTTTGAGAGTAAAAATTTTTACGAAGCGCGCGCACACTCTGGCAAAAAGCGACACGATGAAATTGGTTGCATATGCAAAGCCCCAAATTTGCCGAACATCGCGGTATTATGGCAACCAATAAGAACTTTCTGATATTTACATGTAATCCCAAGTTAACTAATTAAGCCGTTATAAATTGCATTTAATGTTTTATTCACAGAAAAAGAATACCTGCTGGCGCACAGAATATTTTTTTTAATTATTTTTATTCTATTACGCTATATAAGTATAAATAATTTCTTACATGCGTTCATAAGTACACACACACACCTTTTCAACATTGCAACTCCTGTAAGTACGTGCGATTTCGCAAAGTAAGCTAATAAACTTGTAAGTTTGTTACATAGAGTAAAATTTTTGCATTATATTTACACGTGATAAATCAGCACGTAAAATTAAGAATTTCATTGGTGCTAGCACCGGGATCAGATCTCAGGTTGTTCGACTATAAAGAATTAAGTAAGCGCGGAGCCCGTAGCAAATTCTTTCAAACAGCCCTTGATCTGCTGCCCGTCTTAAGTATAAAGTGGTAAAAAACGATTCAATACTCTTACTTATTTAATAAGATCCACTCAAAATTTAATTAAGACTCAGGCAGAGATGAGTGGTTTTAAATACTCGTAGCCCACTTTGGCGCGGGGCCCGTAGCAATTGCTACTCTTGCTATGTGGTTAATCCGGTACTAATTAATACCGAAATGGATGATTTTCAACCCCACAGTAGTCCGTGCCAACAGTTTACATCGGGCACGTCAAGCAGCTCAGTTCTTCCCTCAGGTGCTGTAAACTTCTTGGTTATTGTAGAATATTTTTTACAGCTTTTCCATGACAAACGAATGTCATATGAAATGGTTCACCGGACCTCGGCGGCAACGGAACGTGACCGGTACCAATCCATCCGGTACCAACCGCTAAATGCACCACCCCGTTGGACACCATAACGGAATGTCCCTTGAAAACATGCCCGTTTGGGCAGAAATATGCCAAATCGATACAAAAGGTAAAAAATATAATGTATATGAATTTCTAATGGTGCGAACTTTCGCGCACCCAAACTGTGATTAGTGCTCGGTTCGTATTTAATTTATTTGTATATTAAATGGAGGCTTTTCATTGCGTATATAGGACCGACATTCGCCTCATATGGTGGCTGAAGATAATTTTCAAAACTCGTCGACGTTATGAACAAAGTTATCGATAAGCTCTAAGTGATATGAACTATATAAAAAAATACGATCAATTTTTTTAGAGTTACTAAGCATTAACCTATAGCTCTTCGAGTTGTCGGTTCGATTCCCGCCCAAGACAAGTACAGCTATATCTATTTCGGACCCATTTTGCTATATCTATTTTTGAAACGGGGGCTTATTCGAAGCTGTTGTCGTGACCGTGCCTAGGATTGCTAAATGTAATGTAATAAAAGTTTCTTTCTCCTTTGCTATTTATTCGATCTAACCAAATTGTATATCGAAAAATAATATGGGAGCTATTTTAAATTTTTTTTGATAAATGAAAAAAAGCTTTCGGCGCTGCGGGATTCGAACCCGCTGGTTTCGCGCCCAGAAAGTTTTTGTTAATTTATTTACAAAAAGTTTCAATTTAAAGTTTCATCATGAGTGCAGAGACTAAGAAGGAAAGACAAAAAAGGAAATTAAAACCACACTAAATACTCTAAAACTAAATCGCTAAACGACTGTCGACAGCTCAGTTTTGGGTCACCGTGATTATCACGTACAATTTAAGTTGTATATTACGGGGCTGTGACTTTGTTTTATCACAAAAAGGCTCAGGCCCGTCTCCGAGTGTAGTTATTAAATTCTTTGCTTTTGTCGCCGATTTGTAAATCGGTGTTTAAACGCATTAAGTTTATAATCATTAGGCTAATAAATGTAGCGTTGTAGTTTTTTTGCAAAAAAAAAAACAGTCAAATCATTGAAACAATGCAAAAACATTATGATTGAAATATTTATTTATTTTAATTTTTCGATAATCGTTATTTATTTTTATGACATTTGAGACTGACTGTTTTGACTGGAATATACGATATGTTAGAATATATTACCTACATATTCACTTACGTAAATATATGACGGCATTAACATAAAAGTGATATGTCATAGAAATAATACGTGAAGTACTAACTTTTATAGGAAAATATTATTAACTGACCATAGATAAACCTCTGGACAACATCGAGGTAAAATAGTTTTATTAAAAAAAATCGTTTCTTAAATCTACCTCTCGGGTTAATTAAATCTACCTCTCGGTTAATTAAGTTGCGAACTTTTGGGACATCAGTTTTTACCTCAAACCGTGAATTCGTCCCGTTTAAGGTTAAATATTCTGCTATAAAACAATGAAAACCGTAGGTTATATACAATACCAAATTGACTAAAACTTAATTACTTCAATTCAAGTTTTAATTAAAACAAAAAGTGAGCCTAATGTTACGTATTGGTTTCGTTTTAAAATCGCGTTTCCGTCGGACAATATATTTCTAATTACTAATATATAACTGGCTCAACTTAGATTCATTAGTTTCACACAATTTTAAATTGAGATTAATTTAATTCACGATTATCCTGAAAATAAATAAAGACACAGGTATCTATTATTTTATTATACGATTGCGTATTATAGGTACGTAAAATAAAATATAAACTCATCTTACAAAATTGTTTTGAGCTAAAACAATTAAGTGCAACCTATTTGCGCTGACAACATTATTATTTTGAATAAATGTAGGAGTACTTAAACGAAATAATTGAAACAAACACTGAACTTACAAGACCATGATTGTTTGTCGTTAGGAAGTTTTGTTTATTTTTTTACAATAACTCGTACCACACGTTTTTAAACAGTTAGACCGCTTCTTAAATTAATATCACTAAGCACGCAAGCTAATATCACGCACTATAAACGAGAAAGATAAATAAGAAAAGAAAAAAAAAACAAATCAAAAAAAAAAGAAAAATGTCTTCATACCTCGCACTTTAACGTTTCTCAGTTTCGATTTTTGAGCGTCAATAACAGCGTCCATAATACGTAAAATAAAAAACGACAATAAAAAAATATAAGAAACGGAACGACAACACTTGTGAACTCCGGCGGGAGCCGAAGTTAGGAAAGTGACGCGCGGCGCGGGAAAACTGGAGCGACGACAGCACGCGCGGCGGTTTCGCAACGAATGATCCCCGTTACTGGAAATCAGTGCCGGGGAAGAAAAATAATAAGGGCGAGTTTTATTGTTGTGTAATGAGGCCCGTAAGAAGGGTCCGGCCGTAAGCAGATGTGGAGTGCGCGTGAGAAACGGGGGTGGCCCACTCGCGACCCCTCCAGCTGTCTTGGCTCGTGGGTGTCTTTTGCGCGCGGAGATAAGTTAATCGACGACTCTCACACGTACGCATTAACGGCCGCACTCAGAGTCCGCGATTAATTAATCGGCATTAAAAGTGGTTTCTTTGCCTTGCTGAGTCTTACGGATAAGACAGTCTGTCAACTTTTAAATGGCAACATTAAATAAGCACACCATTTAATAGCGAAATAATTAGGAATTTTTTAAGTAAATTAATTGAATTATTGAAGCAGCGCCACATCAAAAAATATTACTAATATACCGTATATTACTAATATATTTTTGGTGTCATAGAAATAACTTTGTAATATTTTTTTTTTCTTTTATATTTAAATTTTACCTAAGAGGTTATAGTGAAATTTTACTTTAGTACATGATGTTGATGTTTAAGTTACTTCTTAATTTATCGTTGGGACTAAAGTACGTGGATTAATTATTGACCTGTAGAAAAAACTTATTTCTCATTTTTAAGGCTTTGTAGGTTTTTCAACAAACTTTTGCAACATCTTATTTCTTCGGAACGGAGAGTTTTCAACTCAATAAAAAATAAACTTTAAACTGTTTCCTAAGGGGGAATCACGACAATTTGTATTACCTTTGAAAGTGCTGCCCATTATTTATAGAATCTAATGAATCTCGAAATTTTCATTGTTTGTAAAGATATTAGCCAATTTTCATTGTAATTCATAAATGGCACGTTTTATTGGTACTGGGAATATTTACTCAATGCTATGAAAATACCAACAACGAGGAGTAAACAGGCGCGCAGCCATGAGGATGGCACGTGTTTGGGATTAGAACCTACAGCACCGGTCGCTAATCCATCATACCACTACTAACATGTTGTGGTATTCAATCTAATGCTGCGTACTTTCCAGTTTATTGCACCGATTTATAACAATCGCCATCGAAACCTCTAATCAGCATTAGTAATCCGGACTTGAAAATGTTCCGGGCTGGAATCAATTTGGAGTTACTAGAGCCATACAGCATTTCGGTGGACGGTTTTTTTTAATTGTGAATAGTTGTCAAGCGAGCGGTTTATCTGATATTAAGTGTTTACCTCCCGCCCATTGCCATTTACAACGCCCGATGGCTTAATGATGCGTTGACAACCTTTAAAAATGTGGGCCCCGGTTGCATACATGTGTACGATTTGAATTAAGTAAATAGCCGTGATAGCTCAATGCCTTGGTGTTCCCCTTTTAATACTAGCTGCTACCCGCGACTACATCTGCGTAGAATATGCTGAAGGCATAACATTTAGACAGAAAGACAGTTATACATAAAATATGTACATAAATTATAGCTTATGTCTATTCTGATGTATAAGCTATTATTGTAAAGTTTCATTAAAACCCATTCGTAGTATTTGTTTGAAAGAGTAACAAACATCCATCCATACGTACAAACTTTCGCCTTTATAATATTAGTAAGGATACTCGAGCAACCTGATTTCAATCTCCGGTGCCGGTGCCAACGAAAATGTTAATTTTAAGTGCTGACTTATAAACATGGTCAGTGGTGAAGAAAAAAATTCAAGAGGATACCTGTATATTTTTGAAATAATCGGAACAATCGGCAGTGGGGTCGCTCTGTACAAAGGAGGTCTGTCCATCAGTGTGACATATGAAAGCTGTTACTTTACTTTTTACTTTAACGATAAAGTAAGTGAAATTATAAGGTAGAAAAAACTGAATAGTTTAGATATTATCATAAGCCTCGATTATGCCTAACGGCCGGTTTCAGTATTGTATCCACAGATAATACAGATATAATAATGGAGATAGAATTTTGACGTAAGTCTTATGGACCTAATGTCAAATACCTATCTTCAGTGACCAAGTCTATCTGTAATCCGTCATAACCTAGACAGTTGGTGATGTTAAAGCGAATATGCTATTGTTGTGCGTCCATATTTAGAACAGATATTTTGTAGTATAATTAATAATAATATCCCCGGTGACCACATCACAACATAGTATAAAACAAATTCGTCACCCGTGCGAAGCCGGGGCGGGTCGCTAGTGCGTTCTAGTGCGTTTTTTTTTTAAATGCACCGCATTTTTCTAGTAAGAAATTACCACGAGTAGGCGTTGCTGATAAAGTTGTTTAGACGTTGTCTCGGTGTAGTCTGAAGACACCCACGGTATACTCGGAGAGGAAAGTTAAACCCCAGCAAATTGTTCCACATTACGTTGAGGCTTAATCCTAATGAAGGTCGATAATAAAGGGATATAGCAGATGGAACTTTTTAAGCAACATGTTTTAAATTAATTTAATAAATCATGTTCATAAATATAAATAAACAACAAGGTAATAGAACCATGTAACTATGTCATAAATATTATTCATAATTTGATCGCTCGGGCTCGTAACTCAAAAGCCACAGCTTCGAGTCTTGGTAGGGTCGAAAAATTTTCGACAATTCATCTTTTTAATTAGCATTAAAATGTGATATGGTTTATTTACAAACACGGAATATACCAAACCTACATTACGATTATTTTAGAGCAGTAAAATAAATAGGAATATAGAAAAGTGTGTTTTTAAGGTAGCAAGCGAGCAGGTCGTTCACCAGATG